AACAACTTGTTTTGGAAAGTATAGCACATTCAAGAAATATTAATGAAGCTATGTTTTATGCTGCATTGTGGACTCATCAACCGTATGTTTCTGATTCTACAATTTTTAAAGTGGAAACTTTACTAGTTGAATCTGGACACAAGAAATTTTGAGCGTTAATGTTTTTTAATTACAGGTAAGTTATTTTTAATTTTTGATATCAATTAATATATAGTCAATTTCTTTAAGCATAAAAATTAATTCATTATTATTTTTATTGTTTATTTTTCACATTAATTAAGTTTCAACCTTACAAGATTATCCCTATAGAATTCTCTTAGCTAGTTTTAATTTAATGAATACTTTAATGGAAATTATTGATATAGTTTTATAACAATAGTGTAACCCAACTACAGTTACATATTAATTTTTACTACAACACAATTGCATCCTTGCCTGTCACACAATTAAGCAATTTTTGTTTTTGTATTGAAAAGTGTAAAAAAATAGATTATTTTCTTTGAAACTTTGATATTAATACATAAAATATTTAAATAACTGAAAAAGTCCTAATTTTCAAAGCTAACTTAGTAGATAAATATGGGCGAATTCTATGAAATATAACTAAAAAGTAAAATATTTTGTTTTGGAAACCGTTTGTTAATTTTTTGGGGATCAGTAAGTTCCAGTAGTGGTAATTCGTATATCAACAGGAAAAACGGAAACATGCATGGCTGTAGGGGATGTATAGCCTTATAAAACCTGTTTAAAAACCTTTGTCTATGAGATTGTTGTAATGTATTTAAAGTGTGGCTGAAGTTGGGCAATGCCCTAATGACACTAGTCAAGGTTATAACCGTCAAAAAATTGAACTGTTGCGCGTGTTTGCGCTAATTGCAGCAGAACGGAGCAACATCAGCAGCAGCACAGTTCTGCAGTGTTTGTCAACAACGTTATTCATTAAATAATGTTCGACGTTTAATTATTTATCATTTAAATTTCAGTTAATTGCGACATCGACTTTGAAAATAGTATGGCATCAGAATCAGGTGCTCATATTATCCACCGATGCAATTCGGAAGGATCCGAAAATTCGAAAAAAATATTGATTAACCTGTTTCCAAAACAAGCAGACTGCTCTTATGTTTCTTGTTATTGGTAAGTTAAAATAAGTTTGTCTTTAACCAATAATTTACTTTTTTTAATTTAACTTATTTGTCACTGATAAAAATTTTGATGTGACTGATCATATTTCCTTTATGTAATATTGCCTAGTAATTAATAAGTAAAAGAAGTTTTTATTTACTTCCTATTTCAATTTGATCCATTTAATAGACAATTTATATTTAAGAATAACTAGATATTTGTTAAATTTTTATTGTTTGTATAACCATATGCAATTAATTAAAAAAAAAGTTTGTAAATAGGTAAATTAAATTCAGTTTTATTATAAAAATTGATGTAAAGTACATATTAGCAAGTCATTAAATTTAATATGCAAGGGATTTTGTTGCATGTTTTCGTGTTAAAGTTTAATAGAGAAAAAATTGTTAATCAATATTTTCATATTGTGTGCATAAAAGTTGCATGTGGTGCATATATGGTTTGAATTTTTTAAAAATATCTGATTGGAATAAATAAACCTATGTTTAATGTTGTGATAAAATACTTCTGAGAATTTGCACACTTTTACTTGAAGCTTTTTAAATTAATAATTACAAAATTATATAAAAAAATGTTTAAGCGTAATATTTTTGCTAATAATATTACATTTAATATATGTATTTATTTATCTATTTTTCTTTAACTTTTTAACCGTGATTAAGAGCTAGTAAGGTAAAAAAGATGAAGAATTTTAATATCAACCTGTTTGAAATATTTTAGTTTTATTTGAGCCAATTTTACTTCCAATTTTTTTCTCAAGTGCTGTAACTGTATCTGCAATACTAATTATTTTGATTAGGATTATTCAGATGC